TATACTACTATATATATATAGTAATAGCAACACAGCCCTGGGAAATTGAAGGGGAAGATATGGTCCAGCTCTCGCTTCCATACATCACTACTGGAAAAACCATAGCTTTGACTATGCTGACCTTTGTCGGCAAGGTGATGTCTCTGCTTTTTAAGATACTGTCTAGGTTTGTCCTCGCTTTCCTCCCAAGAAGCAGGCGTCTTTTAATTTTGTAGCTGCTGACACCATCTGCAGTGATCATTGGAGCCCAAGAAAGTAAAATCTGTCACTCCCTCCATATCTTCCCCTTCTATTTGCCAGGAGGTGATGGGACCAGTGGCCACAATCTTAGTTTTTTTTTATCAAGAGCTTGAGACCATTTTTTTGTGCTCTCCTCTTTCACCCTCATTAAGAGGTTCTTTTTCTTCCTTACTTTCTGCCATCAGAGTGGTATCATCTGCAAATCTGAGGTTGTTGATATTTGTTCCGGAAATCTTAATTCCGGTTTGGGATTCCTCCAGTCCAGCTTTTTGTATGATGTATTCTGCATATACGTTAAATAAGCAGGGGGACAATATACAGCCTTGTTGCACTCCTTTCCCAATTTTGAATCAATCACTTGTGCGGCTTACATAGCTCTAACACTACCACCACTCCCAATAAAGGAGAACAGCTGGGAAGTTTAGGAGGAATGGCTGGGAGGGTACCATTGCCACTTCTTTCCCACCCTCCACTCCATGAGGTGATCACTGCATTATAGGTGATCACCTAATTATAGAGTCGGCCCTGACTATTGGCATAACTCACCTGCATAGACACAAAATATTTCGATGCCTGTAGCAGGAAATGCACATGGTTCATGTCTTCCCTTCCGCAGGGCAACATCGGCCATAATCCACTAGGAAGTGCTCTTGCCTCAGTGAAATGTGGCTGCAACACTGAATCAATAAATGGTTGTGATCACCCATCCCTGGACTAAAATCACATTTATATGTCAATTTAATGCATGTATATTGAGCAGCAAGGCATAATGAGTACAGTGGGACATCCTCTCAAGTAAGTGTGTATATACAATCGCACCCTTAGGAGCAAACCTGCAAATCAGAGATGGACAATTGTGGCAGGTCCAGCAACCAAAATTCTGCCACTGTGTAGCTGTAGAAACTTCTAGGGTCCTCACCCTTGGGCCTCCAGATATTCTTGGACTACAACTCCCAGAAGCCTTCACCACCACCTCTGCTGGCCAGGATTTCTGGGAGTTCAAGTCCAAGAACATCTGGAGGCCCAAGGATGGAGACCACGGGATCATAGCCCCAAACGCTAAACACTCCAATAAAGTTGGAATTGGATAGAAGTAAATGATTTGGAAGATGGATTTTTGGAGATATTAAGCAGTGAAGGGGTGTTTGTGATCTGTTGGTAAGGTGAACTGCCACAACTAGAGACTTCCAACAGCTGGAATTCACTTTTCCCCCATCAGGAAAAGAAAGAGGTCTAGGTTCTATTAAATCAGCCTTAAGGGGCTGCATGAGGCCCCAGAGCCATACCTTGCCCTCCCTCCCTACTAAACTCCTATCTAGAAGATGCACTGAATTGAAGAGGCTTATGTTTGAGGATTTATTATAAGGTTATGTTGCTGCTAAAGGGTGTCAGTTGATCCACAGAGGGTTTTTAAAATATTCTCAAGAGAAGCTCACAGAGCTGGACAAAAACATTTTGCTGCCTGAGGGCAAAGGACAAAATGGTGCCCTCATATTCCATGGTCAGAAGCTAACAGGACTTCTGGCAATTAAATGTTACTTCAGAACTACTGGCTGTACAAAAGTGTATTCCATTGTATCCCTGAGGGCAGCAGGTTAGCTTAGGAGATGAAGAACAACCTGAAATAGCACTAATTCTCTCTTCCAATAAAAGAGAGAGAGATGTGGTCCATTGCACAGTAAACGTCCTCAGGAGAGACTACACTTTTATTAGACCACTAAAACCAAACATTCAGCTTGAACTTTTATGATTAAAGAAATAACTTCTTCAGGCATGCATGAAAATCTTGAGAGTGTAAAAATATTTTCCCTCCAACACATATTTGTTGCTCTGTGTCCCCTAACATCTTCTGATGAAAGCAGTCATCTCACTCTGCAGTATGGTTGGGGTGAGCACAGCAAACAGCAATCTCCAGCTAAAAAGAAAGGAGAGCTCCCATCTCGTTCTCTCTCATACACACAAAGAGGCTTTTTCCTAAGATGATGCCTCCTGCTGCTACAACACATGTGAGTCATTTGAGAACAAAGCAAGTAAAGGTTTGAGTTCAGAAGAAATGGTTTTACCCGCTGCCAATTTAATCACCAGATTAATCTACCCAAATCCATGTCCTTAATTAAGCTGCATCCTACAGTAAAGTGAATGGTGCTGTGCAAGTATACTAATACTAAATGTGTGTGGCTGATGGGGTTAAAGAGTCCTGCCACCTGGGCTGCCTTGAGCAAGCTACACATACCCAGAATGCCACCAGGAGGGACTCGTAAACCACCTCTTAAAATATTTTTTGCAGAGAGAACCCTAGATGGGTCATTATAAGTTGGAATTGATCTGACACTATGTAGTTATTGATATTAGCCAGCTGAATAGCTCAGTGATTTAGGTCTCTGGCTGTGGAGCCAGAGACTGAGAGTTCAGTGCCCTCCTGTACCTCCTGGGAGTAAAGCCAGCCTGCAATCCATGGATTTCTAATCCCACTCCCTTGGGGACTTAGGTTCTCCAGAGATGTGTGTGTGTCTTCCCCAGCCTGGGTGCCCTCATCAGGATCCTCCAAGGCAGGTCCCTTTTTCCTCATCCTCTGCCACCAGGATGTCAGAGAGTAAATATCCAATTTGGATTCCCCTGCTCCACTTTTCTCCCTCTCAGCATCTTTTATCTCCAGTCCTTCTCTTTATGTTACCCAGCTCCTAGGAGCTTTTCCCCTCCTCCTCCTCCTCCCTGAGTCTCTCCCTCTCTAAAGCCCCTATCTAGGTTCCCTTCTCCTGTGTCCTGTATTCCTTCTGTGTAGGTTCCCCTGGTGACAATTCTGATAAGTTGGTGCCCACCAGATCTACTGGGGAGTTGACTGTACAAACCCCTCAGGTCCTGGGTGGAGGCAAGATAGCCCACCAAGAGAGGCATCCATGCTGCTGTGGTCAACCTCATATTTACATTATATTTTCCCTAGAATCCTTATATTGTTTTTATATACAGAGCCATGGAAATACTTGTTTGATCAGAATCAGGAGCTGCCACTGCCCAGACATTTGTCCCGTGTCATGATCAACACATAAATATTTTCAGTGCACATAGACAAATACGATGTATTAAATATCCCGATACTTTCCAGCTATACAGCTCTCCGACACCTGGCTGGATCCATCTGTCATACTTTGACAGTTTGCCAAAGGTGAGGAACCGACTTAGAACTAAGCACCACATTATAAATTCATAATGAGTTGGAATGCTACAGCTAATTTGTATACTATGGGGTAGGCAATGAAGTCATCTTGCGTACCAATTGTGTGACTGTGATTAATAATAAAACAGGAGATGTGGGACATATTGTATTTATTAGGCAGTATCAGAAATTTTAAACCCCACTCTACTTACACA